GCAAGCGGGGATTGAACTCAGGCCTTTGCGCTTGCCAGGGAAGCGCTTATTCCACTGAGCCATCTCCCCGGCCCATACTAGAGGTTTGTTTGAGTTGGATATTTTGTAGTTATGTTTTAGATTTGTGTTTGTTCATCTTTACTGGATATACAAGATCTTTGAGTTGTGTTCTCAACCATATTTTATTCCTGCCTTATTTTTTCCCATTGGTTTTCATAGTCTTCAGTTTCTCATTGTTTATATTTATGTGATGTGGTGTCTTGTTCTATAGTCCAAGCTGGCCTTTAGATCACTGTGAACATTAAGCTGGCTTCAAACTTAGTGATCCTTCTGACTTGGTCTTTCAAGTGCTGGGATTACAGGCATATACCACCATACTGTGCTGAGGTTTTTCTCTTTGTATTTAGTGCCTAATTGTGATATCTTTATTTTTAATGTGTCTGATGTATTTTATTTCTGTTCTTCCCTTTTCATTGTTCCTTATATGCTGTTAGAAGTTCTGATATCTGAGTGTAAAGTGATCATTTGGTGTTACTGAGGTCTAAGGTAATATGAAAGCTTCTGCTGTTTTTATGTTCCATAGAATTGCTCTAATAATACTGTCTTTCCATGAGCATTTTCATTTTTATTCATAAACATTAATGTTACATTAAGTTTCTTCTATGAAACTGAATTCAACTTTCAAAATGTCCCCAGAGGGCCTGGGGAGAGATAGCTCAGTAGAAGAAGTGCTTGCCTGGCAAGGGCAAGGGCCTGACTTCAGTCCCCATTTCTGGGAAAAAAAAAATGTAGCCAGAAAGTGTGACTTGTTTTTGTTGTTTGCTTTTTAAAAAACAAACAAACAAACAAACAAACAAAGGGTCTTACTGTGCAGCTTGGACTTGGGGCTGGCAGGGAATGCAGTACTAGGGATCAAACTTGGGTCCTTGCACTTGCCGGGCAGGTGCTTAGCCCACTGAGCTATCTCTGCATCCCAAGAATGACTTAATTGCATGAAGAACTCTGTTGGAAAACAGTTCTTATCTGTTGTCTATTAGAACCATTCATTAGGTGTTTATCTCCTTTGTGTTTTGTGGATGATGATGTGCAGGCCCCCTCTGTGAGCTCCACTTTGGAAGTAGTGCATGAGTAAAATTTCTGTGACCCTCCAGCATACCAGTTCTACTGTTCTGCTTGTGTTACATAAGAGTTGGAATCGCATCAGAATTGCTGTATGAAAATATGTGCGTATGCTTGGTGACCAAGATAAGAAGTTCATATTTGAAAGAATTGGCTTTAGTTCAGCTTTTCCATGAGATCAGCTATCCAAAAGTATCCATTTCAACCCTTCTCTCAGAATGTGTACATCTGATTACTTAGGAGGCAGTGACCCTGGAGGATGTGCTTGTGAACTTCACCATGGAGGAGTGGGCTGTGCTGAATCCATCTCAGAAGAAGCTCTACAGAGAAGTGATGTGGGAAACATTCGTGAATATGACTGCTGTAGGTAAGGATGGCATTTGTACCTGTGTGCAACGAGAGAGCGTTGGTTCTTGCTGATTCATAAAGATTTATTAAATAGAATGTGGAAACTTTTAGAAGTCTGTCTCAGGCCTATTTTCATTATGCCATGAATCAAGCTGCTGCCTGCTAATTTCTATATAATTATATACAGACTTTTTATATTTCTGTGATTACAATTTAGGAAGGACGTGGAACATCCAGCAAATTGAAGAAGTGTACAAAAACTGCTCAAGAAATCTAAGGTAAAGTATTTATAAGTAATACTAATACCCCACAACAATTAGGGTTTAAACAGAAATACTGCAGATGAGGCCATGGTCAAATTTATTTTAGCTCACAAAAATTCTTCAGATAAGCAGACAGATTAGTATTCTATAAAGTGACAATTGAACACAGTAATATTCCAATCCAGGAAACTAAGTTAGTTGAGATATTATGCAAGAAGGTCTCTCTCTCTCTCTCTCTCTCTCTCTCTCTCTCTCTCTATCTCTGTCTGTCTCTCTGTGTCTGTCTCTGTCTCTGTCTCATGTTGGACTGGGTGTACAAGGTCTCGCTAAGTAGATTGGACTCATAGCGATCCTCCTGTTTACAGCTTCCCAAATGTTGGGATTACAGGCACATGACGCCATACCCAGTCTCATTTGCCATTTCAGCATGCCCTGGGGATGGGACCAGCATGGCAGGCCCAGGGATCAAAGTCCTGTCCCCTACGTCTGCCTAAGCAGGCGCTTTAATCCACTGAGCTATGAGCTAAAAATAAAAGTTTGCATTTTATCCAGGTATATTTCTCTAACTTATTAATATTATTAATTATTATTATTTGGATTGAACTCAGGATCTTGCACTTGTCAGGCAGGTGCTTATGCCACTAAAGTATCTTACTGGCCCAATATGAAGATTTTTTTATTATGCTTGATATTTTTGTTCTTTCTTTTCTTTAAAGAAATGAAAATATAGCCAAAATTGATGAAAACAAAGTTTGGACTCAACATGAAAAAATGTTCCTTGAGATTTTGGATGAGAATGTGGAGATACAACAGGATGCTCTAAAGCCAGCTGAAAGCCTTGCATGTGCAAATCCCCTGATTGGACATTTATCATTAAACATGTCCACATTACCTCACACTGGATTAAAGCCATGTAAGTGTGTTGGATTTGATGAGAAGCTAAGTAATTATAATGAACCTGAAAAAATCTGCAGTGATTTCCAGTCCTTTCAGAAGCATGCGAGTGGAAAGCCTGGAGAGAAACATTGTCAACATGAGCAATGTAGCAAAACCTACTATAACCCTAAGGAAAGAGCTCAACCTGGCATGGGGACTGTTGTATGCCAGAAAAGTGTTAAAGGTCCCAGCACTCCCAGTGGTGTTCAAATCCATGAAAGAATTGACTCTGCAAAGCAGTCCTCTGTATGTAAACAATGTGGAAAAGAACTTACAGATGAATGTGCATGTCTTAGACATAAAGAAACCCATAGAGGTAAGAAACTCTATATGTGCAAGCAATGTGGGAAAGCATTCACTACTCAACGTTACTGTAGAATACATGAAAGCATTCACACTGGGCAGAAACCCTATGCATGCAAACAACATGGAAAAGTATTTGCAACACTGAGTTATTGTAAAACACATGAAAGAATTCACACCGGCGAGAAACCCTATGCGTGTAAGCAATGTGGAAAAACATTTACTACAGTGACTTATTGTAAAATACATGAAAGAATTCACACTGGCGAGAAACCCTATACATGTAAGCATTGTGGAAAAGCATTTGCTACAGTGGCTTATTGTAAAATACATGAAAAACATCACACCGGGGAGAAACTCTATGCATGTGAGCAATGTGGGAAAGAATTTGCTACTATGAACAGTCGTAAAATGCATGAAAAAATTCACACTGGAGAGAAACCTTATGCATGTAAACAATGTGGAAAAACATTCATTTCCATGGGTGCTTGTAAAATACATGAAAGAACTCACACTGGGGAGAAGCCCTATGTATGTGAGAAATGTGGAAAAGCATTTGCTACACTTGGTTATTGGAAAACACACAAAAGTACCCATACAGGGGAGAAACCCTATGCATGTAAACAATGTGGAAAACTATTTGCCACACTGAATTATTGTAAAACACATGAAAGAGTTCACACTGGGGCTAAACCCTATGCGTGTAAGCAGTGTGGAAAAGCATTTGCTACAATGACTTATTGTAAAATACATGAAAGTATTCACACTGGGGAGAAACCCTATGCATGTAAGCACTGTGGAAAAGCATTTGCTACAGTGACTTACCGTAAAATACATGAAAAACATCATACTGTGAAACCGTATGCATGTAATCAATGTGGGAAAGCATTCACTAATGTGAAAAGTCATAAAATGCATGAAAGAATTCACACTGGGGAGAAACCTTATGCATGTAAGCATTGTGGAAAAACATTCATTAACACGGGTACTTGTAAAATACATGAAAGAACTCATACTGGGGAGAAGCCCTATGTGTGTGAGAAATGTGGAAAAGCATTCGCTACCATTAGTTATTGGAAAACACACAAAAGAACTCACACTGGGGAGAAACCCTATGCATGTAAGCAATGTGGGAAAGCATTCACTAATGTGAAAAGTCATAAGATGCATGAAAGAAGTCACACTGGGGAGAAGCCCTATACATGTAAGCAATGTGGAAAAGTATTTGCTAGCCTGCGTTATTGTAAGAGACATGAAAGAAATCACTGGTGAGAAACCATATCTGTGTGAAAAAGTGAATCAGAGATCTGGTTGTCAAATACATGATATCATTTCAGAGGAAATGTATATTATTCACTACTCAATGTCATTGGAAAATATATGAAAGTATATATATATATATATATATAGAGAGAGAGAGAGAGAGAGTTCATCATGTAGTAAAGACATAGATTTAGTGAAAAATTTTTTTGGAATTTTGTGTAACTCCGTTTTTTTTTTTAATTTTTAAAATTTTATTGAGAAACATCAATGAGACATTTTCGAAGCAGATTAATAGAGTTTCAATAATTAATACATTGTACATTGTTATCTTCTTAGTGGTTATCCATAGTACAAGAAGCAGACAGGGTATCCTGTCCAAACACTATTACTACAAATATTTCTTCTTATTGATTTAAGCAAAAGTAGCTGTATATCCTAACTGTTCTGTATATACAAATACAAAATGGTCCTTCCTTTGTATCACTTTTTTTTGTTTAGTCCTGTCAGAGATGGGTATTCTATTGACATCTACATACTATAGGTGTGTGAATTCAACAAAACAATCCAATACGGTCCAGCAGTCCACAATAGTAGTGGGCTATCCACAGAAGTTGTTGACTTGAGCCTTTTACAGCACAACGTAGTAATATGGCTTTACTTTATATATCTTGTTTTTATACTTTTCTGCTGGATGATTAAGACCAAGATAAAGCAAGACCTATATAACAAGAAATGTAATTGAGTGAAAATTTTTTTGTCAGTATTCTTCATCAATTTTCAAGGTGCTATTCGCCCAGATGAGGAAACCCTAGAATGTTTTGTGTTATTTAGTCAATCACTTGTAAATATATGAATTATGTGTTGGTAGTCTTTATTGTAAAAACATTGACAAATATATATTTGTGGAAGCCATTCAGGTTAAGTAATATATACTATCTTTTGATTAAACAATGTAAATTGAAATGTATTTCTCACTTCCAAGTAGGGTAACTTATGTCATTTTAATTTTGTTTTTACTTTAGGAAGTTACAGCCTACTAACAATGTCTTTTGCTCATTGTTTTTTAAATGTATCAGTTTTCGTATAGGTTTGATTTTGATGTTCTTCATGTGCATAATTCATATACCTTGTTAAAGCAAAGAGGAATTGTTAAAATTGATGTTATATATTTATACACATTTGGAGACAAATAAACATGTATTTTTTTATTTTTATTTATTTATTTTTTTTGTGGAACCAGCAATTAAATTTAGGCCCTTGTGCTTATCAGACAAGCGCTTATTCTACTGAGCCATCTCCCTATGCCCTAAATATGTATTTTTATAAAGTTTATTTTTCTTCACAACTTGGGGATTAGCACAGATATTGTTGTTAAAATAAAGGTGTTAGCATGAACGGCGATGGAGGCAGAATATAGGAGGATCACTACGAGTCCAAGCTGTGTAGTGAGACCCTGTACCAAGAAAAAAAATAAATAAATAAAAAGATAAGGTTTTATTTTTCCTTATTCTAAGAAGATACCTACATATATCAGAACAATTATGCACCTGATTGTACCTATTTTACTTTTGTGTTGGGGTCAATATTATGATTCATTCAAACAATATTACCATTTTGCTTTTCATGCTTATGTTGACATGACTTTGTACAAGCCAAATGAATTCCAAGGTGACCACGAATAGGGGGCTCCTCTCTAGAAACAGGACAAGCCTTCATTTTTCATTTTTTAAAATAATATTCTGGCATCAATCCTCCCTAGGTTTGGTCTTCCACACCCAGAAAATTTGGGGCAAATTTAGTTGGACATATAGTACTCAAGTTGATACAGTCAGTTAATTAACACAATCCACCACTTTTTTTTTTTTTTTTTTTTTTTGGAATTGGGTATTGAACTCAGGCCCTTGTGCTTGCCAGGGAAGCGCTTATTCCACTGAGCCATCTCCCCAGCCCCATAATCCACCACTTGACAGCTTCATAAACACACATTTTTTGAAATCATAGGCTGAAGATACAATTAAGAGCTCATAAATATACCTAATGTGTTATAGCTGTCCTGTATTCAGTTGGAAACATTAATTCCTTCAGAATAGAAGGATGTTTAATTTGGATGATGTTTACTCCTAATATTTTATAACTGGAAAACAAGAACATAGGTAGAGTAAGACTTAAAATACAGGGCCCTGGGGAGATAGTCCAGTGGGTTAAGCACCTACCTGGCCAGCACAAGGTCCTGAGTTTGATCCCTGGTACTACAGAAACAACAACAACAAAAAAGACTTAAACTGTAGTAAGTTTTTTGACTTTATACTGAATTGGAAGCATATTAAATACTTTGTTTTAATCATCTTCTGTATCTCATTATGAGGTCATAGCTAACTTTTTCTACCCATTCTGTACTTCCTTGGTATTGAGCTAAATTCTTAAAATGTAAGCAAGGCCAATATCAGGTTTTAATGTTTGTGACATTGGTTAGCAAAGACTGATAGGCAATGTTGCCTGGCACGTTGATTTTGTTTAGCTGAATGACAGTATGGGGCATATGTGTGCAGCTATCTATAAAAGCATGAATATATTTAGGTTTATTAAAAGAAGATATGTGGGCACTAATCATTTGCCATAGCTGGTTGGTTTAAATACCTCTGGGATTGCAACTTGAGGAATAGGCTGTGGAATGAGCTGACAGGCACTACATGACATCATGATTTGTCTAGTTTCTGTTTTGTTTAAATTTTTTGTAAAGCTTTAGAATTTTGGGAAACAAATTTATGGGGTTATTTTGATTTATCAAAGATGGAAGTCAGATTTATAGTAGTGCCTATATTTTAATTAGCTGATGACAAACCAGGAGATTATAATGAGACCTAATATAATCAAGAAAGAATGGAGTGGTTTTAATTAATATAGCTTGTAGCAATTTTAAAAACAATTGCAATAGAATAGGTTTAAGATGACTCAACTGCAGTTGTTTTCTTACCAATGTTTATAAAATCCTTAACTTTTCCTGCAGAGTAACTACCAATGGCCTTCACTGTAAATATAATTTTGTATTTTGTTTAAGTAAAGTCATGATTGTAAGAGTACAGTCCTACAAGTTTTTGGCTAAGCCTTTGCTTTCTTGATATTTTATCTTAGCTAGCATCCTGCTATCTGATAACACATAGGAAGCCCCTCCTGGTCCTTATCTTGGTCGAAGAAGTCTATATTTGTAATCCCAAAAATACATTATTGGAATCCTATCAAGTTAATTCCAATCTACCACTTGCAGTGCAACCCATGGTGAAAATAAAGACACTGCAACATATTTATAATTGTGGGGAGCCAATGGGTCCTAAGTCCAGCCATGAAGATGGCTTTCCAGAACAAAAAAAGGCCAATCCAGGGCTGAACCTAGATTTTATTCAGTTGTGAAATAGGAGTCACTTGAGAATGAATGATTGAGAATTGCAGGAAGTGGTGAGCACTGAGCTAGACTGTATTTATCTCTGCGATATGCAGAGCAGGATGTGCAGAGAGTAATCTGCATTATTCTATTGAGATAGTATCTAATGCTTTGGGGTAGGATGCTTCAGCTGTGATGTGTAATCTTTCAAACTCCAGGAAATCATAGCCTCTATCTCAAGACTCAACCCCAGTCGACAACATGCAGCATTGGCTCTTCATCCTGTCTTGACCAAGCTCATATTAAAGCAAAGCAGATGTGGGTCATCAGGGAAACGTGTACCATCTTCAAAGACTACTGCCAGCACCTTGGCTAGACCAGTATACATTGCTTACAGTCATTTGAAGGCATAAGGAAAAGTCCTAGCCAGCTCTGTACACATCAATACAGGGAAATAGAGTTAGGCTCAGATAAAATGGAAATGAGGGCTGGGGAGATGGCTCAATACTAAGTGCTTCCCTGGCAAGTGCAAAGGCCTAAGTTCAATCCCCGGTTCTGCAAAAAAAAAAAAAAAAAAAAAAAGACTGCTCTTCTTCGAAGGACAACTGCTCAGGTGGTCCTTCACAGTAATACAACCTCTGAGGCTCAGGAGTAACTAAGTGTTTCTTTTTCTTTCTTTCTTTTTTAAAATGAAGTCTATGCACTATAGATCAACAAGGTGCTTATCAAAGTAGTGGGGGCAGGTCTAGTAAGCCAAGGAAATGGCCATGATTGGCTCTTTACTATGGTGACATCAGCTCTTGTATCTATCAATCTGTCAATGATTTTTAATGATCTATCAATTGTTAAAAGATTTTCCATTAAACTTAATGCTACAAATAGGTCTAGGGACTGAAATATTGTGTGAAAAGTCAGAGTTTTTGCTTAAAGGCTCATCCTTATCAGGTTCACATATGGGAATTAAATTTGGCTTTTCTACCCCCAACAAATCAAGGCAAGAGGCCACTGGTAAAACTAATTTTGAGCTCTGAGTGGTCTGCTGGACTAGGGAAGCAAGGAAAGCATGATTTCACAGTTTACACATCCCATCAGAGAGACTTTTTATTTTGGTTTAGATGGGATATAACTGGTTTAACTGAGTCCAAATCACTGGAGTATGGAGTGACCCTTCTTTTGTCATTGCTACTGGGGCCTTCAGTTTGGGCACATGGTTTGTTTCTCTGCAAGAGTGCCATTGTTTTTGTGTGTATGTATTTAGTACAGGGTCTACAAGATCTCACTACACTCTCTACACCTGAACCCAAAAGATCCTTCCTGCACCACTTTGCTTTCAGTCTTTTAATTGTAATGAGCGTCTGGCTCAATATCAGTGGAAAGTGCTTCCTCAGGGAATGGCAAATAGTCCATGCCTATGTCAGAAGTTTGTTACTCAAGCCCTTCCAAAAACCAGAGATACCTTCCCTGCAGCCTGTATAGTACGTTACATGGATGATATACTTCTTGTCCACCCTGATCAGGGCCTTCTATAAGAAATTCTACAAAAGACTTCCTCCCAAGTCAACACAGGCTCTCCATTGCCTCTGATAAAATTTAGCTCTTTTAAGAGAAAGTCATCTTTCTCTTATTTTGGGACAAATATGTGTACCCCTCAAAAATATAGTTGAGCCTGGTTCTGGGGAAAAAAAAAAATATATATATATATATATATATGTGTGTGTGTGTGTGTGTGTTTCAAAATTGACAAATTGTCTACC